TGCGAGAATTTCCAATAAATCATATAAAAATATTTCATTTTTTCGAATTTAGGGATGAAAAATAAAGAAGTTGTTGTATTAATCGTTCAAACAATGAACTTTTTTTCCATAATTATAAATCACTTTGGATGAAAATTATTTTTTTTTTTTTTTTTTGCACAAAAAATATCAAAATAGGATTTTGCTGCTAAATAGAAAAAAGAAAAAAAAACAAAGTAATCATTTAATCTGTTTTCTCATGAGAAACAAAAAATTGGAGGTGGAAATTTTTCTTTTCAAATAACAGAAATTTTAGTGCCAAAAAAAAAAGAAATTACATAAATTTCAATTTAAACACATTTCAAATATTTTATAACAATCAAAAAAAATCACACTTTCAAATTTAAAATAAAATTATTTTGAAAATTTAAAATCGTTTTGAAAATTCATTAAATTTTAGTACAACAATAATAACGATTAATAACATTCAAATCATCAAACTATTCCATTTTATTCGAATTTTACCTATATTTTATTCTGTAATTTTACTTATTACCAATAATACAATAATTAAATAATTAATAGAAATTAACTGAATAAATATTTGGAATGATAAAATGAGAAAAATAAGAAATAAAGTATAGTATATATATTTTAATTTGAATTGAAATGTAAGAATAATTTAGAAATAATGGAAAAGGATGATGAAATATGTCTAATGGTTGAATTGATGATTGTAATAGTACTGAAACACTTCAGGGATTCATCACGGCTAACGATATAAAATGCAGATAATAGATTAGGTGCGCGCATGTGTCTCTCTGTAAATATGTATATATATATATATATACATATATATATGTGTGTGTGTGTATGTGTGTGTGTGTATGTGTGTGTATGTGTGTGTGTGTATGTGTATGTGTATGTGTATGTGTGTATGTGTCTGCGTGTATATGTTTGTGTGTGTATATATATATATATATGTGTGTGTATGTGTGTGTGTATATATATATATACCTGTTTGTGTGTCTGTTTATGTTTGACAAATGTGTGCACAATAGCCAATAAAGATCAATGATGCATACATAAACTTTAAAATGCTTTCAACAAAATTAATATCCTTATCAAAATCATTTATCATTTATCATTATTCTTATCAGTTATAAATAATTCAACTAATTGATACCATATTTGATTGAAATAATTCGAAAATGAAATGATTAAATGATTAAATTCATTAAATTAATACAAATGATAAGCCTATATGGTAAATTTTATTTTCAATAAGTGATAATAAAAATTTAAAATTTTGTTTCATGTTTGTTGAAAATTTATTTCCATCGTAGACATTTATTTGTTGAATATTTCATGAAACATCAAAAGTTATCGATCAAAAATGATTAATTAAATATTTAATTAATTTAATGCTAATAGCAAGAGGACGAAAGAGAAAAGTTAAAAATTAATGAGCGTTACAATGATTTAAGCAAAAAGTCTACGAAATATACATGAAATTTCAAATAAAAAATATGATCAAATTTGCATATTTCCCTGACATTTCGTGTAAAAAAAAAAGAAAAAAGAAAAAAATTCAAAAATTGAATTGAAAAAAGTATACGGTAAAGTTAAACTTCAGCAAATAACAATTTTATTCTCGAAGAGTGAACTGAAAAATCAATTCAATTGCTATTTTATTTTTATGATTAACGTAGCAAAATGATTAATGTGACATTATATGACATCAATGAGTAACAGCTGGTAATATTTTCATGTCATTCGGCTTTTAATTATTTAATAAATAATCAATATGACACTTTTAATGAGAATATTAGAGTAGCAATATCTAAATGATAGAATAATATCTAAAAATATTTGTTAAAAATTATCGAATAAAATTTATGGAATTAAAAATGAAAAATGATTTTAAAGAATTGGCGCAAAAATCACATGTAAATAAGGAACTTTAGAAAATGTCAACAACATTATCAAATTACTGTCATCAATTTATTGTTGTCATAAAAATTTAAATTTAGGTCATATAAAGAAGTAACGAGAGATAAATGAAAGATGGTAGGTATTTGATGTGAAATTGGTTGATGAAATAATGAATGATGTGCCTTTCGTGATAAAATAATTACATTAATACCACTTTTCCGATACAACCTTATCAGATCATTCGATGACGATTAACATTTTTCGCAACAATTCATGAGATTAATTGTAATGTTATCACCTGAATTGATCATTTCAACCTATATTATAATATATATGGAAATTATTATTGCTAATAAATTTTGAAAAATTTTAGGATACAGTGAAAATTTTTGGATGATAAATAAATTTTTAAACAAATATTTGATAAAAATGTTATATTTAGTGTAGGTTAGAATCAATGAATCATTTCTGTAATTTAGCAAATTATTTAGAAATTATTATTAAAAAATTTTTGCTCAAATCCATAACGATTGCTATAAAATGTTGTTGAAATAATCAAAATTTATTGATAATTCCATAAATTTGTCGAATTTATTATTCATTAATTTATAATTCGTTGGAAATTATACAATTTTCAAATTAATCATTCGAGGAATTATACTATTTACAAATTGATATTTGTGTTGATAAAAACATCAACAATCTTTGTTGCATTAAATATTTAAATTTAAAATTTAAATGATTTACAAGTATTGCCGTCGATGAGTAAATAAACTTTAACAAATACATCAACAGATGCAAATTATTTGGCTAATATTTCTAAATTAATTAAATTAATTTTGTTAGTACTATCGTGATATGCGTACACGTTAAAAAAAAAAAAAAAAAAAACTAATACTATATGATATTATCCAACAACATTGCTAGATAATTGTAATAACTTTTGTTAAAAAAATTTATTAAATTTAAATTAAGAATTTTTAATTTTAAAATTTTAAATATTTTTTTTTTGAAAAGTAAGAAATGACAGTATAGATAGATATGTGTATATATTTTATTTCATTCTATTATTTTTATCATAATTTTGATGAAAATTTTTGATATTATAATAGCTATTTATGTGATGACAGTAAAAATGTCATGAATGTTTGATTAAGCGACAACGATTAGAATTGTCGATTATTCGGTTACCGTGGTGACAACAAATCATAATACCCACACATTTCATCACTATTTCATATATATTTTCCATTCTCCTCCTTCACATTTTCTTATTGAATTTTAGTTGAAAAAGCAATTTCTCCCTCTCCCTCTCTCTCTCTCTCTCTCTCTCTTCTTCTTCTTCTTCNCTT